GAGCTCGGAAAGTTTAATGTGAAAAAAAGTTCAATCTTGCATTTTGATAAAGGTGTGACAAAATAAATAATATCAAACGATAAAAATAGAATCAAACGACCACCTATCCCGAGCTGAAGATTACAAAAGTCATACCTGATACGTCATTTATACCTGACACGTCAATTATATTCTTATAAGAATGCAATTTAAAAAAAACATTAGATAAGCTTAAAACACAATATTTTAAAGTAAGTCATATCTAACAACTATGCGTGCCTTCCAACAAGCGACACAAATGATACGGTGTGACACAATAGATCATTACATCCTTGTTGTTTGCCAATGTTAAACAAAGATGACATAATCACTGTGTCGCACTGTGTCGCTTGTTGGAAGGCACCCTATATCTTAAGTTTAAAGTGTGTATATTTTTTACCAATCCTATAATATACGCAGAGAGAGCGAGAGAGAGAGAGAGAGAGAGAGAGAGAGAGACAGAGGGGAAAAAAAGAAAATTCCAAAGCAATGGGCATTGAAAGCGACGTGAGTTAGATCTTTATCGATAGATTCGTCCCATTTTGAATCCCATTGTGATAAGACGCGACATCGAAATTTAATTAAACGTGCCTCGCCGACTGACAGAGCTTAGTGGCTTTTAGCCATGTTGTTTACGAGCTCGAACCGTTATATAGCTTTCCACGCGACCGAACTCGGGAAAATGAAGCTACACCCGCATTAAGAAAATATACGACGAAGATTAATGATTCCAGGCGATTTGCTAACAATGCAGTTCCCTTTAAAAGCAACTATGCGATTCACACCAGATTTAACGGGTGGATAACAAATGTTGTACAATACTGCGGTTAAAAAGCGTACCGTGATTATTGCTGCTTCTTAAACTTGAAAATATATATGTAAAGTACTGCGTATTAATTAATCAAATCTCGCTATGTATACGCTTATAATTACGAATTTCGGATCGGTGAGATCTAAAGGAATTTTCTGGGGACTGTTAGGGTCGTCATAAAATAATATTGTCCAACCAAATGCCGAAGACTTGGGAATCCGGACAAACTATTTTCCGAACCATCCGCGCGGTCGCCTTATTTATTTATGCTGCTTTCGTGACCTCAGTAGATGTTATTACAAGGATCTTCCTACGATACGCGACGATGATTACATAAACGTTGGCAGGATCCGGATAATGTCGGTTTTGTCAACGGCTTCGACGTTCTTTTCATGCTTCCTTGTCCAAATTTGTGTGGGTGACGAAAAAGGAATCGCTAAGGGGACAATAAAATAGTACATAACTTAATCGCGATTATTAATGGTAAATCAATTGTTGCAAAGAAGTTGGAATACTCATAAAATATATTTTCAGCTACTTGTAATGTTTACTGTTAATTTATAATGTTTGTCAAAATAATACTCTATTTGAATTACTTTTAATTATATATATAATTAAATTTGATTTAAATTTAGTTCATTATTTGCTAAGTACACATATAAGTTAATTTGGATATGTTTACTTTGAAACTAAATCAGAGAAATGGATTGATTTATATTTTAAGTATTACATGGAAATTAAAAATAACAGAATATTATTTAACTCAAGGTTGCCATTACTCCCTTGATATCTAATAGCATTGAAGAGAAAAACGTACTGTTAGATATCAAAGAAACAATTGTAACTTAATCCCTCGCATTAACATTTTGTTATTTTTAAATTCTGTATATATCAAAATATAAATCAGTCCATTTCTGTAGTTAATTTTAAAATAAACAATATTCATATTAATATGCACTTAGTAAATATAATAAACTAAATTTAAATAAATTTAATATATTTTCTTGAATTAAATTGTTTAACTCCATTGTTTTAGTTAATTAATGACATATGAGAAAGAGCAGTGGTGATTCAGAAATTAAATTAAAAATAATTAAATATTATTTGACATTATGAATTTAACCACTTATTACAAATTATTTTTTACATGAAGATATAATAATGTAAATATATCTCGCACGTTAGCGCGCTAATTAACAAGTACAAATTCTTCGCAAGGTATAACTTCCTTTCATCCAATAAAACGATCGTTCTTAAGTTAGGTATTGTTCGACACGAGAATGGCTTTATCAGATGTATTATACGCGAGAAGGACTATTGATCAATCGATTGAAGTAGATGCAATAATGACGCGTTTTTCTTTATGTTACTTGGCCGCATTCGAGTCGCTGTATCACGATTTGCAATATGTACGTCATGTACTCCGGTGCAGTGTTGTCTTGTTTCCTTAGCAAACACCGATGTCCATCGCGTGTGGCCGAAAGCATTTCTTTCATTCGCGAAATTCGGGTCCCGTACAAAATCTTCGCGCACGCGGTTCTTCGGGAGATTCTCGAGAAGTACTCGAGAAAAATACGCTTGAAGATCACGTGCACACGTGACGTACTTAATATTCGCGTGCAGCACATGCCGTAAAAAGCATGTATTTTGTATTCCAAAAATTGCGATCTGTTTTTTTTATTGTCAGCTGTAAATCTTCAAATATCTTATTTTCTCATGCTATTTAATCTCACGTTACATTTTTCAAATTAAAAATAAGAAAGTCTTTCTTAAGTGCCAATGTAAGATATTGTTGCGAAAAAATTCTTTTATTGTATAAACAATTAAACGTTTAGATCCTCGGTTAGAAGCCTCTTCAGTAATCCGCATCAAATAGATGAAGTAAAATTTTTATATAATTATAACCATACAAGTATAAGACATTGAATAATATAAATTACAAGTTTAAATTGTTTGGTCGTCGAAAAAGCAACGCAGATAAAAGTTTTTGAAAAAATGTCGATCTTAATCAAATCATATTGTTATAATTATGTAAAAACTTTACTTCATCTATTTGATGTGAATTACTGAAGAGAATCCTAACCACGGATTAAAACAAATTGTTTATATAATAAAAAATTTTTTCGCGTAATAATATCTTATGTTTAGCTCTTATAAAGGCTATCCTATTTTTTATTTGATTTATTTCTTTTGAGCCTATATATTATAATTGTTAAATCATTATATTTTTTTAAGAAATCGAAATCTTTGTGTGATTAATTTGGTTTGTGCATCAAATTTACGATGTGGTATTTTCATTCATATGTGATGCACCTAGATTTTCGTACATATTTCCAACATACGAGAAGAATCATGTCACCATCTGTCATCTGCAATCGATCCGAAGCCGATCAGTGTCGCGTTACCAGGCGATTTCAGGTTCTAAGTTGATCACCGTCAGTGAGTCTAAAAAAAAATCGTTTCGTCTCGAAGGGATCCTCGGAATCTGCAAGCTCACGCCCGTGAAAATATTTTTTTGTACGCGTAACACGAGTGCCGTCCCGAACCCGTCGCGGTGCTCCCTTTTGGGTGCGTCCTACAAGGCTTTTCGCTCGCGGGCAAACATCGCACCGTGGTTTGCCTGGTAATTGCTGGAAACACCTTGCGAGTGTTTACAGTGTCATCGAGGCGCGGTCGCACCTCGGCGACGTGCAGGTCCTATGAAAGTCCGTGTTCTGTCATAAAAGAAGCGATGCACGGTTTGTAGTGTGACCGCTGAGAAATTTTAAATACGAAAGACCGTCCGTCTCCTCTTTTTTTTTTCTATTTACGAGAAACACTTAGGGTAAAGCGAGGCTATTTTATCGGTTTCGACCTTAAAGTAATATGAAAATTTGTGGCAGCAAACGATATCTCTTTGCAGTGACGTGCTTACAACTCTACATTGCATTATGATTATTTCTTGAAAGCACAAGCATGACATCAAATGTTCAATATGTGCTGTTTTGTAACATAAACATTATCAAGAGAAATGAACGAAAAAGCCGCTCTTTATCCACTTCTACTAATGTAGATTAACTTTAATCTGAGTTTTACCTTTTCACCTTTTCTAGTTCTAAGAATTATTAATTGAAGTTAATCTACATTGAGAGAGATAGAAATAGATATTAGAAATTCCATTTAATCTATTAGAATATGAATCAGAATGGACATTTTTTATGTACATTTGAAACAACAAGATGTCTTAAAGATATTGGTTGGAAAGTTATTTTTTATAAATCATTCTTTTAAACCTTATAATATTTTCTAAGCTGTATGTAATTCACCTTTTCTAGTTCTAAGAATTATTAATTGAAGTTAATCTACATTGAGACAGATAGAAATAGATATTAGAGAAATTCCATTTAATCTATTAGAATATGAATCAGAATGGACATTTTTTATGTACATTTGAAACAACAAGATGTCTTAAAGATATTGGTTGGAAAGTTATTTTTTATAAATCATTCTTTTAAACCTTATAATATTTTCTAAGCTGTATGTAATTTGTCTTATACTTATATTGAATTGTCTTTTTACACAATAAAATGTCATTTCTCTGTTTCATTTTGACAAAAGGTGTCTATATTACACACGATAAATTCTATTGTCTGAGTTACACTCTATACAATACGGTACGCGGTTAGGCGCGTATTATCGGTTCCGTAATTACGTATTTAACACATAGCAAAAATGGAAAGAGAAATGCTCGTGCACAATGCCAGGCGATTAATCGAAACCTTGGGACGCGGATATGCAGCTTTAATATGCGCCTATTGTACAATTGTGATATAATGGGAGAACATTATTTATTCTTATTACAATGTTCCCAATGACAAGAATATCATATCGACATGTCTTTTGCATGGACGGCTATAGAACAGATCTAATGAATAGACTAGAATAGATTAGAGAACAAATGACTGACACAATGAGTAGGATTTCAGTTTGCTCACATGATTGAGCCTAGTAGCTCCATCTGTAGAAATCTCTTTAAAAAATTTGAAACTCGAACTGTCGGTGAAAAGGAAACTCAGAAGATAAATATCATTGAACATGATTTTTTGACAAACTTGACATTAAAAAGTAATAGATAAAAGAAATAAAGTTAAAAATGTTTTTATTTTTTTGTTCTTGTGCAGTTTTCGCAGTTTTCCATAATTTATTTTGTTAAAAATTAATATATCTACATATTATAACTTATAACTGATAATTAATTAATACAGTGGAAATAATGTATAGGATATTGAAATGACATAAAAATATATACAACGATTTAATTAATTTCTGCCACGGCTTCGAGTTCATCGTTGGAATCTTGATCTACTTGCATGTGTTCCTGTTCTTCGGCTGCCTCTTCTTGCTTCTTTCTTTGTTTGAGACCAGCGGCTGGCGAACGGATAAGAGACAGGTCACGCTGCACCTCCTTGATGTCTCTCTCCTGTTCGAGTTCTCTTCCCTTACGTAATCGCTGCATAATGTGTAGATTCTGTCGCCTCTGCCTGATAGTGTCTACCTTTTTCATTGCCTCCAAAGTCTTGCTCCATAATTCTCTGTTATATTTGACGGGTACATTCCTCCTCTTTTCAAACTCGAACGACGGATCCACCGCCAATTCTTTGCCAACTGTTTTTCTGTAGGCCTTGGTCCATTTGACTTTTCTCGGATTCTTCTTCTTTTTGAATGCAGCGTGACATTTCGAGCGACAGAACTTGAATATCTGTAACATTATTCACAAAGTGCAACAATATCATTTCGATAAACAGAAACAATCAGAAATTGTCAAAAGTTTAACTGCAATTGTTATGAACCGAAAGCGATAATTTTTTCGAAGATTTAATTTTCACATTTCGAAATGCACACGATGAAAAAGTCAATTGCATAAAGGATTTATAATCTATTTTTGTTATAATGTTTGTACAAAATATATAACCTCACTTTGACATACAACACACGTTATATACGTGATACTCCGTTACTCTACAAGTTTATAGTGTTATTTAATGTTAGATTAAATATGCAGCTCTTACCTTACAATCATTCCTTACAAACTGAATTCCGTGTCCCGGAAATATCCGGGATGAACAGAAATAACACGTTTCTATACGCATGTTGCGATAAGTTGTGCATACAGAATAGTTGTGAGCTTGTGAGAGACTGAGATACACGTGGGTACGTAAGTTTACTACTTTCTGTGTTTCCGAATAGACGAACAGATGGCACTACAGGAAAGTTTATTACTTACTGTGTTCCTGAATAGATAAACAGATGGCGCTACAGTTAAAGTTATGCGGGGTCTACAATAGAAGTTGTAGCAGTCGTAGGGTCTTAAGTCATAGAAAATTGACCAATCACAGTCAAATATGAGAAGAATAATCCAACTCTGATTGGTCAATTTTCTACGACTTAAGACGTTACGACCGCTATGACTTCTATTGTAGACCCCGCATTATTTCGAATGAGAATGGCTACGTTCAGCAGAAGAAGCAATTTTGCATCAGTTGTACAATTTTTCAATATGATTGATTTATATATTTAAACCCAGTGAGGAGCTAAGGACAAAACAAATCACATCAAAGAATTTTGCAATAGTTGCAAAATGCTTTTTCTGCTGAACGCAGTCAATAGTAACTAATCTGTTATCTCAGGAGGAGTATCTTTATTAAACCTGAGACACAATTGAAAAGCACAAGCAATAAGAGCAAGCAATAACAGATTTCAATCAGAACTGTGTATTAAGCCGGAATCAGACTACGCATTGAATATTGAGATTGAAGATTGAAAGATTGAAATTTGACCAATCAAAACAATAGAAGCTAAAATTTCTTTGTCCGCACTGGTCAAATTTTAATCTTCAATCTCAATCTTCAATGCGTAGTCTGATTCCGGCTTTAAGACGATCCCCTTAAGACGCTAACGCGACTCTCTGATTGGTTCATGACATCTTCTGAGTTTCTAAAACTCAAATACTCTCGAGGTGAGGAAGATCACCATGACTAGTTAATAATTGTTATATTCTATGTATGTGAATTTATTAGTTATCTCTGAAGAAGGCTCAAAAATGAGCCGAAACATGTAAGCGCTTTAGTAAAATAAAGAAGTTTGACGCTACGATAGTCGTGTTATTTGCGCAACATCTCCCGCGCTTGACTCCTACTGCCCTTGTTCTTTCATTGTTTTTTAAATAAATAACGTAAAACAAACATTTCTTAAACGTCATATAAACGTTAAAAAATATTATTTTAAAAACGAATCATAAAACATAAAATTAATTACAAATAAACGTTCAGAAAATATTTAATAAACGTTTAAAGAACATTTTCTCCCTATAGTTATGAAGAAAAAATATTGAAAAAATGTTAAATAAATGTTAAAAGAATGTTTAATGAATTTATTTTATCAAATGAGTAACAATTAATGAAAAAAAAAATTTAAAAAACATTGCTACTTGGGATGTGTATTTCATTTTAAGTTTAACGAATGTATACTACACGAACTACAAAAATAAACCTCTCTATAAAACTTAGAACTTTCCCGTGCATACAAATTACGTATTATCGATGTAAAAATTTAAAGAAACGTTAATTTAATTTGGTAAAAATTAATTTGGTAAGAATATGTGTACACTGAGAAAAAAATTTATTAAATTTTAATAAATATTTCTTTGAATAATCCTAGTCGAATATTTTTACTTACGGTATATAGTAAATATATAATAAATATTTAAATAAAAAAAAAATAGTTAATTCAAACTAATGGTTCTTATATTTAATAAATATATAATATGTTTACATTTAATAATATTCCATTAGGACCATTCAAAAAAATATTTATTAAAATTTAATAAATTTTTTTCTCGATGTAGAATCCTATCTCCAACTACTTGGAATCTAATAAAAATAATATATACTCTTATATTTATAATAAATATATTTTATTTTCTCTTCTTTTTCTGACCTTGATGTTTGTTTTATGATAGGATAAACTGTAACTTGGATCAAAAGTTGCACGATCATTGGCAGAGGAAAAATGCAACTCGCGACAACAGGCAGCATATTGCTCCTCATAACATCACTCATTATGACATGATCAGTTTAAATGGACAATTTGTGATTTAGAAAAACAACACAATTAACTACGCGTAACAATATCTAAACCGCGATTATTTCGCAAAGTATTTTTTGGCACCTCATTTAATCAATATGATAGACAAAGACAATTAAAAATAGAAGTCTGCTTAAACAGAAATGCGATATTTGAACGTATCAGCACGACGACGGGTCGATTGCAACGGGTACATTTTATTTAACGTAATAATTATGTATTTCTGATGTTGCGATGCGTCGCTGGTCGTTGTCACGATGCTTCGGACCGCTTATAGAGTGAGACTTATAGACTAGTATCGATTACGAACAGAGCTACTAATTTAATATCGGGATCGAACGTGCAGTAGTCGCTGCAGTTCCGTGTTGTCTTACACGTTGTCTCAGTATTACTGTGCCGCGACCGTCGGCTGAACGTGTATTCCTGTAACTTTTAAGAAGAGACATGTGGGGCCACATATCGATTTCGATCGCAGTCCTGCTGGTATCGTTGCTCTATCATTATCACTTCAGCGAGCCGGCCAGCGTTATCGTTTATCCCGAAACACATTACGATTACATTGTCGGTGAGTTAACTTCCTGGTTTATGTTTATTTTATCACCCGGCATCTTCGTCTGGCGATTCCAGCACTCTTCCTCCTCCGCTTCGTTTTTCGAAATATACGCAGCATCGATTTTTAATCAAAGAGAATTAGTGCAAATCGCATTGTTCTTAATAGGCCTTCTAGATGTTTCAGATAAAATAAACAGAAAATACAATACGATTTACATTCTTTTTCTTAACAAAATTTGAGACATAGAGTTGCCAATTGAAATGTAAGTTGCTAATTATACATTATCCTTTGAATCCTGCTTGTTTTATATTTCTGAATTATCTATTTTTAAATTTGCATATCTAAAATTTAATTTAATAAACGGCTGATGTTTTTGTATTACCGCTAACATTAATTTTTTGCGTCACAATGAGAGAAAACCACATGAATTTTACATTTAATCTAATATAATAAAAATTATGCTTCTCCTTGCGGGGTTTAAGTTGGCGCTGGTACGTCTGGTTGCGTGATTGCATCACGACTCTCAGAAATGTCGAACGTGACCGTTTTGCTCGTGGAAGCCGGCGGATACTTCGGATGGCTATCGACTATGCCGCTCTTAGCGCCGATGATGCAAGGCACTGAGGTCGATTGGGCCTACCAAACGGAGCCGCAAGTCTTCTCGTCTCGAGGGCTCTACGGCTATGTAATTAAAGCTCAATTCTTCGATGAAGGAATTTCCGTTTCGCGAGAACGATTTCTATAGAAATCTGCTATTACATAACGTACCTATCATAAAATGAAAATGTGGCACATTCCTGCATGCGCTGAATAATAATACTGATAATAGTGTTAATCTTTAAATGCCTCACTACGGGAACAAAATATTGATGTATTATAGTATGCCCAACCCAATTCGATTGCTTTAATTACTTATAATTTTCAAAAATGAATAAAATGTTCTTTTTTTTTCCAATTAAAACGCCTGACATTAAGGAACATAACGATACTAAGCAAACCTATGTCTTTATTAATAAAAAAAGTTATAAGTAACAAGTATAATGAAAAATATTAGAACATATTGGAAAAAGTCGGATATATCAGAAAGACGTTTAAGTGTTAATCTAAAAGATTTTGTGCCACGATTTCATAAAACATCTTTTTTCATATAATACAAAACGAATATTCCAAAAATTCGCACTTCCGAGTTTGGAATAGCGTATTTTTAGCGTAGCAAATTCCTTCATTGGTCACCTTTAGAGACAAAACTTTCCAAGGGGAAAAGGACTTGGAGGGAGTGGGCAGCTTAATTATCTCGTTCACTCCTTCGGGAGGCCTGAGGACTACAAGAGATGGCCGAAGGGTTGGTCGCACGCTGACCTGCTCCCCTACTTTCAAAAAGTGTCCGATATTATGAACATCATCCCGATGCCGGAGGAAGAGTACCTAACGAAGGCCTTCGTCCTGGCCGAGGAATCGTTAAAGCTGAATAACACATCCTTGCGGAAAGCGATGTATACCGCAAAGAAAGGATCCAGATGGAGTACTTATCACGCGTACTTGCGGAAGGCTTGGAATCACAAGAATTTACATATCCTGATGAATACACTCGTTGCCAAGGTCTCCATAATTTTTATTTTATATATCATGCTGAAGAAAAAATTTTCGACAAACCATCTTTTTTCGAAAAATATACTCTATTCTCTTTTTTATACCAGAAAACTAAAAATTATGATTGAAAATAATTATTTGTATAATAGGTTTTTTATTTAATTATTTTGTTTCTATAAATATATATTTTTTATTTTTTTGTTTGAACATTATAGATACTTTTCAAGAATAACAAAGTCGATAGCATTAAAGTGATATATAAAAATGGCTCCGTCGGGAGAATCGGCGTGAGAAAGGAGATAATTCTTTGCGCAGGCACTATCAATACCCCGCAGTTACTTTTGATTTCCGGCATAGGACCTGTCAATGAATTGAAAAAGCATAAGGTGATAAATCAAAGTGTCATGTCAAACTTTTCGATTTCAAGTAAAATAATAAATTCGATCTCTAGATACCCGTGGTACAAGATCTTCCGGAGGTAGGCCGGAATTTATTCGATCATTTAAACGTACCTGTTTACGTGAATCTGCGGGAACGAGTCAGTATCACGCTTGTGAAGCTGCAAACTATACCTGAGGTGTTCAATTATTTCGCCTTCGGAACCGGTAAATGCGATAACGCGCCAGTAACGACGCTTGTCATTTACTTAAGATGTCTGTAGATTCACTTTATACGGCCGACGTTGTAATCTTGCCATATACTTTTTTTCTCTATTGCATGTCAAAGGATGGTTGGCCACTAACGGCGTAATGGGATTGGGGCGTGCTAATAACAGTGGCCTCCTCCTCTTCGGAGTGGCATCCACAGAGGAAAAATTGCTGAAGGCCATCTCAAATTTCGAGACTGAGGTGAATGAACCACCCACAGCAGTAATATATTTGGACTTTAACTAAAACTAAAA